CGCAACAGTCTTTCTCTATCCTCTACCTTTGTATACATAAGGGCGTGTACACACACGCGCACATGTACGCACGCGTACACACACAAATGTCATGGCAAGCTCGTGATTCGCAAAAGCGTAACCGAATTTCCCTCGGTCCTTAATTTTTGCCTTTTTTCTGGACAATCTCTCGGCAGCGAGCCGCTTTGTGGATTCACCTCAACTCTCTCCATTTCCGTGCCTGGGAATCGGCTTTTCCCCTCTTTTTTTTCTTCCATTTCATTTTTTTTTATTCCCTTCCTCCTTTCTATTTTTCCTTTTTTTCTTTCTTTCTTTCTTTCTTTCTTTCTTTTTTTTTTTTTTGTATGTCTTTTTTCCTTTCTACCCTACCTACCTATCTATCTACCATAGAATCACAATATTCGAGAGAAGGGTAAAATTTTTTTCACGATGCACAGCTTAGCAACACGGAATTGTCGATGAACATTTTTCACGGACTAACTTAATTGAAGTTTCGACTTAAACTGTATTCGTGACGATTCGTCTATTCGGTAATTTTCTTTTCTTTTTTTAGCATTTAATTCTCTTGATAACATCACGTTATCGTAATATCTTGAAATATCTCGATGATGCAAATTTTATTTTTAAAGAAAAAATTTTGTCCGAATAATCGTTAATAAAAGCGAAACCTATTCGAGTCGGTAACGTTAAAATCGTTACCCATCGCGCAAATACGATACTTTTATCCTCGAGTGAGAAACTTTGGACAATGCAATAAACGAAGAAAAGAACATCCCATATAGCGAACATATATCGAAACATCTCGACGATATAATTTTTTTTTTTTTAATTGCATAAAAATTTCGTCCGAACAATCGTTAATAAAAGCGAGACCTACTTGAATCGGTAACGTAAAAATCGTTACCCATCGCGCGAGCACACTTTTATCCTCGCGTGAGAACTTTAGACGCGACAAACGATAAACAAAGGAAAAGACATCCCCGTATATCGAACAATTCTATCTCATTCCGATCGCGTGTTTCACGCTATGAATTCCATGATAGGTGTATGTTGAAGGAATCGATTGGGTCGCGTGGGCTCGTAGATTTTCCAGGATTTCGTAACCCGACAACGCAGCCTGTCTGCATGACGCAATCCACCCGGTGTAGGATGTGCTCCGGTGCGTGTTTAACCGCAAGCACGGACGTGTGCACGCGCGTGTGTATCCACGTATTTCCGCCCGCATCCGCGCCCGCTTCAACCGAGGTGTGCCCCGAATAACGGCACCGTTCTTGTACGCTTGAAACACGCGCGGGTATAAATAAGGTTTATGACGTCATCCCATCGCAAAGCCTCGAATTCGTTCCGTTGTGTTCCAGTTCCTTCCTCGTTTCTCCCTCGCTTCTTATTTCTCCGTTTCCATCAACCGTTGACAGGACCCCTGTTTCGACTGCTTCGTGCAAATTTTTTTCCCATTTCTTTTTTTTTTTTTTGATCGGTCGGTGACCTTTTCTCTGATTAGGAAATCAATTTTTTTTTTCGTTATTTTTATAGAGATCGATAATTTTGATATTGCTTATATGTTTTTTTTTTTAATTAATATCTTTAGAGATTGTCGATAAAATATTATCGATGTGTCGAGTTTTTTTGTTCTTATTATTATAAAAGATTCTACAATGAAATTATTATTCTTTATTTAGAATAATTTTAATTTAAATATATATATTATATGCGTTAATGTTTGTGCGAAGAGGTTAATTATTTTCGAAAGATTTTTCGAATCTAATCTTTCTTATATCTTTCTTATATGAGTTATCGAACTTAGTATTTGAATAAAAAGAAAGAAAAGAAAATATTGGGAGGAATATTGAATTTATGAATGGGAGGAATTACCTCGAAGAGAATAGTTTTCTAATCGGGAGAGAAGCACGGTGAAAAGAATGAGCAAGGCTAAAAAAAGACACGGTAAATAAGAAATAATAGGCGGGAGTGTATTCGTTTGGCACAATGGCCGGTCGAAATCGCGACTGTTTAGCATTCCACGGTTAATTGCATCGTGAACGGTTACCGCAACGCGCGAAGGGAGAGGGTTAAACCGACGTAAAATCGTGATTGTTATTTTTACCTTTGGCCGCTTCTCGTTTCCACTTATTCGATGCAATTACGCGAAATCTAATTTTCCACGGGACTCGACACGTGCGGTTTACCCGTGCCACGGAGCCAGTTCCCATTTTATAAAAGTGGCGGGGCCCGCCTATTATCAAGAGGAAAGAGGGAATTGATACGAACGCGATAAAAAATCCGCGATAGAACGTTGGGCAATCGGTAACTAATTGCCGGATAGATAAACTCTTAATTAATGTTATAATTAAGATCGAAGATTTGAAGGTATGGTTACAAACGAGGAACGCCTTTTTGCTTATTTAATCGAGTTTAGTTACCATGATTTGATAATTCGTACATGCGTGTTTCAAAAGACTTTAAAAATATTTTAATTGCAAGGTAAAGATATTCGATTTAAAATAGCTGTGTAATTAATTGAAACATGTAAAAGTTCTTATCGCGGAGAAAGAGGTTAGAAGAGAGAGATTTGAAGAGAATTAGGTTAGAATCCATAATCACATAATAGACGGTAAAATTTTTAACATAACCTCGATTGGAAATACAAATATCAATTGTATTCGAGTAAAAAGGATCACATTACGTCATATGATTTAAATAATAATATGTTACGAATGCAAAAGATAATTTCTCTAAGTACGATCCAATTAATTTCAAATTTCTTCTTCTCGTCCATTTTTTTTTCGCGACAAAATATCTTGAAAAATAAAATTCATTTTTCGAGAATGGTTGGTCGTTGACCGTATCTCAGAATGAGGCACGAATTCTGTCGAATAATTATGGTGCTATAGGAAGAGAAGAAAATTGCACGCCTACGCAGAGTCGAGAGCTGTTCTTCTCGAGCTGTTTTTACGCCAAGAAGATTAATCCCCGTGAATCGTAACCGTGAAGAAAAAAATATGTCCGTGCATCATCCAGCTTTTTTTTTTCTTCTCTTTTCCCGCTTTTTATCTTTCCTTTCCATCCTCGAAACGCTCGAAACCAATTGAATTTTAATGACGAATCGTTAACAGAGCTGCGTGAATACGGGCACACGTCATAGTACCTAGCGAAATTCACTAGATTCCAGAGAAATCCCCTATTATTTGTTTCGGCGATGGCACGATGAATGTATGTAAAATAAAGAGACACAAAATATTATGTTATTTGAACAATATGTAAAATTCACATGTTATATATTATTATTATTATTCTGAATGCGCCTAGAATTTTATTTAAAATTAATGAAATATATTTTATTTAAAAATTAATGAAAAATATTCCAAATGATATTTTAACTGAGCTAGTTTGTTGAAAACAATTCAAGTATTAAAGATATATTTATTATTAAAAATTATGATATAATTTTTAATAATTATCTGATCAAATTTATACGGCAATTAAATACTAATTTTCTAATTTAATTGGTTAATTTTTATCAATAATTCATAACTTTTCGTATGTTTTATTGTTTTCGATTATCTAATTACAAAATAGAAATTTATGAATTCGAGTTGAAAGAATTAAACTGCATTATTAATTAACGTTTCATTTCGAAACGTATAAATTTACATTTATCAATTATTCCTTTTCTTTTTTCTTTTTTAAAAAAATGCATCATTTTGTTTTTAAATTGATTCCCCATTAACCAGACAGAAAGCAAATTGGTACAAAGTAATTTATTGTGTTATTTTCGTTGAACGATGTGCTAATTGACCGGCGATACAATCTGTTGCAACTTCGTCGATAATAATTATTGCTTCTTCGCGTCGTAGTCAACGGTGCTTGCTTTCGAAACACTTGACAATGACTTGAAACACTTGAAAACACTCGAAACACGAATAATCGAGTATCCATTTTTTTTTCCATTTATTATTATTTTTCTTTTTGAGAGCGAAATTTTCAATTGTAAATAAATTACGAGCGAGTATTAAGCGTTACGTGTTCCTAAAAAAAAAAAAACTTTTTTCTAGAAAGCTCCACAAGATTTATATTTAAAATATTTAATCACGGAACAGCGTTTCAAAGTTTGAATCATCGAAGAGAAAAATTTTCACAAAAATACACGTTCGATTATCGAGAGGAAGAAATGAGTCACATAGGTGTCATTGAAAAGAGACGTCATTAAGTCATAATTAATTCATGAAAACAGGAAGGTTCGCGTGTATGGTGAACCTATCTAAACGCGTTAACTATTATGCAGTCACATAAAGTTTACCAAGGACAAGCAACACGTAATAATGTGACAATAATATAAAGTACACGTTGAAGGCTAAATTGTTAATGGCCAGATGCGGAATAGTAGTGAATAGATGAACAATTCGATTTACATACGCTCTGACAATCGTTTTTCGAAATCTTTTAATGATGGAATTTAATAATAATTAACATCGAAAACTAATACCAATTATCCATTATTTTGTAAAAGAAAAGTTCGCTTTACAAATTCATTTCATTAAAAAAAAAAAAGAAAAATATCAAATATTCACTCGTCAAAGAACATCGAACATCATTTTCAATCGAATTTATATAACATTTATGACAGATAAATTAACCAACTTAGAAAAATTGTAAAGGAAAAAGGAAGCTTTTGTGAACGAGTAAAATTAATTTTCATTTGCGAATTATCGAAATCGAATTTGCAGAATTTCGAACGAGGAAACGAAATCATAATATTTTCCCTCGCGTTCCTTAGCCCGGCATTTTCTGTAGCGACCGAATCGTCGGCCAGATGCTGAGCGTACGGTAGGCCAGCCCTCGTAAATTATTCTTAAGTGCCAAATAACCTTGTGTTAAGTAACGAACACAAGCGGGCCGGAATATTCCTCTAATAAACAGGCCTCTGTGCTCTCGAATTCCGTGAATTCGATGCTCGTGAATCATCTTGCCAGGAATATTCAAATTTTAAATTTCATACGTACCCCGAGATCAAGCTTCTGGGAAACCTTGCGAACAATTTAGCCTCGGTTCATTCACGCACTCGCCATTTAAAAAGCTATTATTTCTATATTCGTCCACGAACTTCATAGATTCTGATTAACTCCTTGATTGATTCTTGAACGACGATATTTCCTCGTCATTGGGGACACTGGAAAAATAGAAAATATATCCAAATGTTAGATATACGTACATTTTGAACGAGTGGTATTTATCTTAAATTTTATTATATTTCTTTTTCTTTTTTTTTTTTTTTTTTTTTCATTACTTGAAATTGTTCAAAAAACGTAAAAGTGACTTAAAGTATGATATAAAAATCTACCGTCTTACCGGCCTGCATACGTTACTTTTTGCTTCAACGATCAAAGAAATTCCGCCCTAAACGAAATCGTTTAAAAACATTACGCGGGGAATAAAAGCTTTGCAAATCCGACTCTGCCTCTCTGTAAAATATCGCGCGCAATTTACATTTACGCCGCTCTACAAATTTAATACGTTCAAATTTCAACCCAAGCACGGAACTGTTTATTAAAAAAAGAAAAAAAAGAAAAAAAACTGACAAACAAAAAGTAAGAAAAAAAAGTAAAATGCAAAGAGAAAAGTAAAATAAAATAAAAAAAAAAAAGAACAAAAAATCAAATTGAAAACACAAAACTAAATTAATCCTGTTAATAAATATTTTCATACATCTATATTTTATCCTCTCTTTTTTCATTCGTACATAGGAAAACCCAAAATAGCAGATAAATAAAATAATAAAATTATTCAACGAGTGAGCAATCGAAATCAAAAGTTGCTTTAACGAATTGTTAAATCCATCCAATCATTTAAATATCTCTAAATTTACGCGTTCTCCGTGAAAATATACAATTTCCCTCCTATTTTTTACTATATATATATATATATATATATATATATATTTTATCCTCGAACGTGACGAGAGCCCCCATAAAAAATTGGTATCGCGAATCAGTTCCCATTTCATCTACGTCCAACGTGGATTACGATCTGGTTAACGATCACCGGTTTTACGCGCATCCAGACGAGATTACCGTCGTTTATGGGCGAGATGATCGGTCCCTGTGATGCACGGCCGGCGATCAATTACAATCCAATCCGCCATAAGAAATGATTACTTTAAGAAATCGTTACGCATGCCCCCGTTTAATATCCGATTATACGCGGATTTATTGCGTAATTCAATTAACAACGGTCAACAGGAATAATTAGATCGGATGACGGGGGGAGGGGGAGGGGGAGGGGGGGGGCGCATTGATGTTCCGCCGGTGTTGTTTTCGCTTGCATTAATAACCGGAGGAATTATTAAGGTAATCAAACGTATCGAATGCCAATTATAGTCTGTTTAGACGGGCGGCCGGCGGAAGCCATCTTGGATATTTATGTTTCTTCTGACGTAAGGAAAATTACGCCCGTATGATTCATGCGTACACGTTTTAATCGCGCACGCAGGGTGCGACGAAATAATTTTGAGCGTCTCGAATTCGAGACGTTCCAGATAAAAATTCGATGTAAACGGAATCGTGTTAAAATTCTCGTGTATATTTGTTCCCCTTCCTCCTATAATATAATCGGGCAAGAATTAATCCTAACCTAAAAATACCTATTTTTGAGATATTTTATTATTCCATGTTTAGAACGATTGAATAATTATCCTACCATCTAAGATGCTCATTCTCGTATCGAAGTTTCAATATCGATTAAAAATTTAAATAGATTCTTTTTAAAATTTTTTACATTGCAGAATAGTATAGCATTGAATTTAATCGACAAAGTAGTCTTTAATAAATTTAATAATTAAATAAATAATAAAAAATAATAAATTAAATCAATAAATTTAATAAATTAATATTTCCATATTTATATTTCAAAGATATCAAATAACACAACGCGTCTAAATGTTTTAACGTTCAAAAACTAAAATCCACAAGTATTACCTAATTATTAACATATAATTTAGACAATTTATTTTTTTTTTTTCTTTTTTTCTATCACTCGATGTACTTAAGATACTAACGTTTCCCAATCAAGCCCATGGAAGATAACGCTTTACCAATTCCCCTCCCCCTCCGGTCGCTTATGACACGCATCTCCACTCCGTTTTCCGCGTAACACCGCTCGAGGCAAGGGATCGACAGTTTGACGGATCGATGACCCAGGCGGAACCCACGGTCGATCCACCGGCCTCCACGCGCACAGATTCCCGTGACAAGATTCGCGCGGAGGCGCAAAGGGGAGCATTATTTATGGGGGGCGTAAATCAGGATCGAGCACCGATCCGCCGGATCGATCACCGCGTCAACCGCCGAACAACCGCGCTTCTCCCCTTTGTCGAGGAAACACTGACGAGAGCCGCCCACGTGTCACGCGCCTATCATCGTCGCCACCACGAGCCGAAGGTGTGTCACCGGCCGCAAGGAACCGATCCTTTTTTTTCTTTTTTTTTTTTTTTTTTTTCACTTCTTTATGGAAACGAGGAAGTCGAGGGAGTGGATGCGATCTTCGACGGAGGATCAAGCCCTCCCTCCCTCCCTTCCTCCCCCCCCCCCTCGAGACTGAATTTGCATTTTTCTTCGTTATGGATAGCTCGGGAACCCGGATAGAGATTTATCTAGACTTTTGGAGAGGGATTTATGAAGAGGCTGCTTGTGCTCGATCGGTCAAATTTGTGTTGTGTTGTTAGAGAGAGGTTAGGTTAGAAATGGATGAAAGATCGAGTAGTGTGTTTAATACGGTATTGCAAGTGTTTTTTTTTTTTTTATTTCTAAACATTTTTGTGCAAGCGTTATAATGTTTTCGTGATTATTAATTGTATTTGGGTTAAATGTTCAAACATTTGGACGAACTTGGAATATGTATAGAACGTTGCACGAGGCTATATATTATTGGATTAATCGATGTTAAACTGTTAATGCTTTTAATTTAAGATGATTGACGTTTCTGAATTTTTAAAAATTATATATATTTAAAGATATAAGATATATAATTTGTAACGATTTCGTTCTTTGATTTATCAATAATCGAATCGAAATTTTCTGTTTTAATTTTCTAAGGTTAGAACTTTAGATGTATCTAAAAATCTACTTGTTAACTCCTTCTCAAGTAAATGGAATGAAAAGACTATTTTGCTCTAGTGGAAAAGAATTGCCAGATAATTACTGATACGTTGAATTGTTATATGTACGTGGGCTGGTGCAACCTACACACCACGTTTCAACTTCATCTTATACGACTGATGAGCATAAAGCATGCACGCAACGAGACCTTAACATGGTCAGGTTATTCGATTCAGATGATGTAAGTGTTATCTCCATGATTGAATGGAGGTTTTTTTTTTTTTTTGCTTTTCTCTATGAAATATACCAGATATAACTTCCTTAACTAAATTTATTGAAACTGAAGATCCTATATTTGATGAAAATATTATAAATCACATTAAAAATGCTGAAGATATAAAATTAATTATTTCTTTATTAATAAATATTAATCGACTATTAGTTTGTTTATAAATCATATTTACTAAAAAAAATAATCCTGAAGATCTTAATCCATGAGAAATTATTATTATATATCTTCCAATTAATCTTAATTTTATAAAAGTTAATATTCTTATAATTATTAATCCTATATGAACAATTGATGAAATTGCAATAATTGATTTTGGAAAAAAATGGTTTGGCAAAAATGGTTTAGAGACGAATGGATAACGATCTCCTGTACGGTTAGAAATAAATCAACCGATAAAAAATGGCGGGATAAAAATACTATTGGAACACTATTGGATAGAATATATGGTATTTAAATCTGAGGATTTTCGAGGCCGACATATTTGTTCCATCTTACTCATTATTTTCCTATAAATCGTTGATTTATTGTTGCCCCATAATTCACGAAAAATTGTTTGCAATTTTTTTTTTTTTTCAGTCTTTGTATAGTGATAACATTTTGATAAATTAATCTCTAATAATCCAGGGAAAATTTAAATTTACAAATAAACAACGAATTAATGAATCGTGATCATGAATATTTTTAATTATTTTCGTATTAAATTTATCAACAAAATTTATATATATATATATTAGATTCTTAAATTTATCAATCCTTTTTAAAAATGATATACAAAAGGAGAAAATTTTATTTTCGAGACGTTATAAATATTATTTCCACTCTATCTAATCCAGTCGCTTATTTTCGAATAATTCTCTAAACGCGAGTAGAATCAAATTCAGTCGTAAATTCGGAACAGTCCATCATGGAAATTAATTCTCCGATTGGTCGAAGGGCACTTCCACCAGGCAATAACCGGCCGATATTCCCTAAACAGAAGCTCTACACGAAACGGTTTACGATTCGGGCTGGAACGTAAAGTCATAAACTGACAGTCACGTTATCTAACAGTATAGGCTTCCTTGTTCCTGTATGCATCGAGTACGTGAATAGATTCATGGAATATTCTAATATGATTCACGGATAGATAATCGTGCGTCATACCGTATATATCCGATTTAAATTTGTGCGCGTGTGTGTTTGATTCATTTCAATTCGTTGGATATATTTTTTTGACAATCGATTTTTAAGTCTGTATCACTTTACAATTATAATCTGATAATTAACTTGATATATGATAATGATTCCTTTTGCAAAATATAATTCATGTATCGCAGATATTGTTATTAATTTTTTATTCTTTTACAATTTTTCTTTTCTAAAAAATTTATTTATAACATTTATTAAAAATTAAAATTACGATATTGTTGTTAAAATTATCAACGATATTATTATCATTATATATTGGCAATAATAAATATTGATCGCGTTAAACATCGTTTAATATTCAATAGGATTAAATCAAATTGTTCTACATTAATCTTGACGTAATTCCAAAACATGTCGTATATTAATTAAAAGTGTTAAATCGTAGGGGAAATTCATATGGATAATCTCCATTTAGCTTTTAGATTTTTTTCTTTTTTTTTTTTTATATATATATATATATTCACGATCCCAAAGATCGTCGAAAAGACGAAACGTGAAAACTCGAAACGAATAACGCGTATTCATCGTAATAACAAGCGAGATCTACATTTAGGCTAACTGATATTTATCGCGTTCACTCGTTCCAGGAAATGTCCA